CATTATAGTGAGTCATCAAGTGGATCATCAAATGGGGCATTAAATGGGTCATCAGATGGGTCATCAAGTGGGTCATCATAGTAGGTCACTAAGTAGACAATCAAGTGGGTCATCAAGTTTTGTATATTATAACACCGTAGTAACATCCCCCAACAGGAAGGATAGAAAAAAAAAACGACCTTATCATGTGACTCCCACCCCACCCTCCTCCTCCCTGTTTCCCCAGCACAAATCTTCATCAGCCAGGTCCTGCACAAGGCCATGATTGACGTCACAGAGACTGGAACCGTGGCCGCCGCCGCCACCGTCATCGGCATCGTATCCCTCGCCATCATGTCTCCCCCTGCCGAGGTCTTCAACGCCGACCACGCCTTCGCCTACTTCCTGCGCGACAACCAGACCGGGCAGATCCTCTTCCAAGGAAAATTCTCCGGTTAAACTTTTTGTTTAGACTAATGTTCTTTTTGTCTTGTCGAATCGACATTGGTGGAAATATTCTGAAATAAAGGTATACGGAAAATGCGATTAAAAGCTGTTGAAAAGTTAATAAGCCTTTGTGTTTCTTTTTACGATTTAATTGTTTATACAGGTTTAAAAAGTATTCTTCTACAGAACAAAAATCATTTGAAGATTGCAAAGCTTGTATTGTGAAGTTCACTTTCACTTTCCCAACCCAACATTGGTCACATAAAATTGGTATCATATATATATAAATATATATATATATATATATATATATATATATATATATATATATACATATATATATATATATATATATATATATATATATATATATATATATCTATAATATAACGCTGCTGGTAGTGTGTCAGTCCTTCCTTCCTTCCTTCCTTCCTTCCTTCCTTCCTTCCTTCCTTCCTTCCGTCATCGCTATAGGTTTTGGAACCATAAAAGTAAACATCGCACCATGTAGTGCTTTGCAGTGCATCGCATTGTCTTATTATAAGTATTAGAGTAGGGTTTGTTTATATAACGACATAGAGCTATTTTATAATTTCCACTGTGTTTACTCTTTTGCATAACTTAAAGAAAATATTAAATATACACACACGGCTAAAACATATTAAAAGTATCAATGTCAAATATCATTTTCCTTTATATTCCCAGAAAAAAATGGATACATTTCAATAACATAATAACAGTACGGTAGAAAAATCAAATTAATATAACTCTTTTTTTCTAATTTTGACAAAAGAGGTAATTTAAAAATATATTAAACTCACGCTAATAAAAAAAAATGTGAATGCACATTTACGGACGTCATAGAAGGAATTAGTGTTGCAATAATATAATTAGCAAAATGTCAATGCAAATTATTCGGATGTGTAAGAGGAAATTATTGTTAGAAAATTATAATTAGCAATCTTTTATTTATTTTATTCACTAAATGTAGGCCCTACTGTTTATTACTTAGAATTTTTAATCAACTATTCAGCACTATTATAGACGCGTCAATCGTCATCACGTTCATTAGGTGCGCAATGGTTTTAGTTATGAAACTCTATTGTAATTTTTTTAAAATTTAAAGTACTGGAAAAAAAATGCGTGAATGGATAAAGTGAAATATTGTAGATAAAACACGGATATTTTAAATACTGCCTATTATTTATACTGTTTACTAATTATTATTCTATCTTTCGGTTTGCGGACAAGCTAGGGGTTTTATAGGAGAGGCGTAGCGAGGGGGGGCATATGTCCCCGGGTGCCGACCTTAGGGGGCGCCAAAGTGGGTAGGAAACAATTTGCGGGGGGGAGGGGGGTGGTGGAAATCGAAAGTTTTAGGGCGGGGGGGGGGGACAGGGGTGCAAATCGAAAGTTTGAGGGGGGTGCAAATCACCGGAAAGGGCGCGATTTGGCGCTACGGGCTAGACTGTGAGCAATATGCCTTTATGATTGCATTTAAATTGTGTTTATGTTATGAGTGTTGTGTTTGTTTTTTCGTTTGTGTTTTTTTTTGCGTTCGTTTGTGTTGTGTTTAGTTTTGTTCTGTTCCCAAGTTGGTGCATTTAAAAAAGATTTACCGTGGCGGAGCACGGGATGCAGCTATATGCCTTTATGATTGCATTTAAATTGTGTTTATGTTATGAGTGTTGTGTTTGTTTGTTCGTTTTTTTTTGTTTTTTTTTTGCGTTCGTTTGTGTTGTGTTTAGTTTTGTTCTGTTGGTACATTTAAAAAAGATTTACCGTGGCGGAGCACGGGATGCAGCTAGTATATCTATAATATAAGCGGGCTGTGTCTGTCCTTCCTTCCTTCCTTCCGTCCGTCATCGCTATAGATTTTGGGACTATAAAAGTAAACTACGCACCATGCTGTGCTTTTCAGTGCAGCGCAGTGTCTTATTATAGCTACTAGAGTAGCGTTTGTTTATATAGAGGCATAGAGCTATTTTATAAATGCCACTGTGTTTACTCTTTTGCATAACTTAAATAAAATATTAAATACACGCACATGGCTAAAACATATTTAAAAAATTAATGTTAAATATCATTTTCGTTTATATTCCTAGAAAAAATGGATATATTTTAATAACATAAGTAGAAAAATCAAATTAATTTAACTCTTTTCTAATTTTGACAAAGGAGGTAATTTAAAAATACATTAAACTCACGCTAATAAAAAATGTGAATGCAAATATACGTTCGTCATAGAAGGAATTAGTGTTGCAATAATATAATTAGCAAAATGTGAATGCAAATTATTCGGATGTGTAAGAGGAAATTATTGTTAGAAAATTATAATTAGCATGGATTGATAAAAGGCAATCTTTTATTTATTTTATTCACTGAATGTAGGCCCTACTATTTATTACTTATAATTTTTAATCAACTATTCAGCACTATTATAGGCGCGTCATCACGTTCATTAGGTGCGCAATGGTTTTAGTTATGAAACTCTATTGTAAATTTTTAAGATTTAAAGTACTGGAAAAAAAATGCGTGAATGGATAAAGTGAAATATTGTAGGTAAAACACGGATATTTTAAATACTGCCTATTATTTATGCTGTTTTCTAATTATTATTCTATCTTTCGGGTTTTATAGGAGAGGCGTAGCGATGGGGGGGGGGGGGGGCATATGTCCCCGGGTGCCGACCTTAGGGGGCGCCAAAGTGGGTTGGAAAAAATTTGCGAGGGGGGGGGTGGTTGAAATCGAAAGTTTTAGGGCGGGGGGGGAGGAGGGGGAAAGGGATGCAAATCGAAAGTTTGAGGGGGGTGCAAATCACCGGAAAGGGCGCGATTTGGCGCTACGAGCTAGACTGTGAGCAATACGCCTTTATGATTGCATTTAAATTGTGTTTATGTTATGAGTGTTGTGTTTGTTTTTTTGTTTTGTATTTTTTTTTTTTTTTTTTTTTTTTTTTTTTTTTTGCGTTCGTTTATGTTGTGTTTAGTTTTGTTCTGTTCCCAAGTTGGTACATTTAAAAAAGATTTACCGTGGCGGAGCACGGGATGCAGCTAGTATATCTATAATATAAGCGGGCTGTGTCTGTCCTTCCTTCCTTCCTTCCGTCCGTCATCGCTATAGATTTTGGGACTATAAAAGTAAACTACGCACCATGCTGTGCTTTTCAGTGCACCGCAGTGTCTTATTATAAGTATTAGAGTAGGGTTTGTTTATATAGCGGCATAGAGCTATTTTATAATTTCCACTGTTTGTACAATTTTGCATAACGTAAAGAGAATATTAAATACACGCACATTGCTAAAACATATTAAAAGGATCAATGTCAAATATAGTTTTCTTTAATATTCCCAGAAAAAGTGGATACATTTTATTAACATAATAACAGTAGGGTAGAAAAATCTAATTAAACTGCTTAGTAATTTTGCCAATGGAGGTAATTCAAAGATAAATTGAACTCACGCTAAAAATGTGAATGCAAAATCTGCAAGACGGAATAATTGTTGGAATAATATAATTAGCAAAATGTGAATGCAAATTATGCTGACGTGTAAGAGTACATTATTGTTGGAATATTATTATTAGCACATTGATTGATAAAAGGCTATCTTTTATTTATTTTATTCACTGAATGTACTGTTTACTAATTATAATTTTTAATCAACTATTCTCCATTACTATATTAAGTCATCACGTTCATTAGGTGCGCAATGGTTTTAGTCATGAAACTTTATTGTCAATTTTTAAAAGTACTGAAAAAAATGCATGAATTTATAAAGTGCAATATGGTCGGTAAAACACGGATATTCTAAATACTGCCTTTAATTTATTTGCGGAAAAGCTAGGGGTTTTATAACAGATGCGTAGCAAGAGGGGGGGGGGGGGGGAGGGTGGAAATCGAAAGTTTGAGGGAGGTGGGAGGGTGTAAATCGAAATTTTCCGCCGGCGCTCGGAGAGGGCGCGATTTGGCGCTACGGGATAGACTGTGAGCAATATGCCTTTATGATTACATTTAAATTGAGTTTATGTTGAGTGTTGTGTTTGTTTTTTCGTTTTTGTTTTTTCTTTGCGTTCGTTTGTGTTGTATTTAGTTTTGTTCTGTTCCCAACTTGGTACACTTAAAAAAGATTTACCGTGTGTTGTGGTTGTGGTTGTGTTGTGGTTGTGGTTGTGTTGTGGTTGTTTTGTGGTTGTGTTGTGGTTGTGTTGTGGTTGTGTTGTGATTGTGTTGTTGTTGTAATGTGGTTGTGTTGTGTTGTGGTTGTGTTTTGTTTGTGTTTGTGTTGTGTTTTTGTTTGTTTTGTTCTGTTCCAAAGTTGGTATATTTTAAAAAGATTTACCGTGGCGGAGCACGGGATGCAGCTAGTATATATATATATATATATATATATATATATATATATATATATATATATATATATATATATATATATATATATATATATATATATATCCCCCAACGGGCTGAGATATGAGTTAAATAGTTGGATCCTTGAATAGAGTTTCCGAGTTTAAAAAAAAATAACCAAAATGTACCCCTTTCTAACCCTCATTCCAATCAACTCAAACATTTCCAATCAACATTTTCCGGGAGGGGGGGGGGAGGGGGGGGGGGCGGACACTAGTAAAAATATATGTTTACTATATAAATACCATCTCGTTCTGCCATTAAGAAACTCCGATCCCATTTATCACGCTAGCTCTATACCTAACTTCAAACTTCAAAACATACACTGAAATATTTTGTATCTGACATTATTAAATTACTTGTAATTCTGTTATGCTGGGGGGGGGGTATCTCTTTCCTTAATAACTAAAGTGTTAATTAGTTTGGATAAAAAAATATTACGTTAATAAAATAAAAGTCAACTTTAGAATAAAATATAAAGATATCTTTTTGTATCAAGACTCAGCTATCAAGACCCTGCTATAATCCTGGAATAACTAAAGTGTTAATTAGTTTGGATAAAAAAATATTACGTTAATAAAATAAAAGTTAACTTTAGAATAAAATATGTCTTACAAGATATCCTTTTGTATCAAGACTCAGCTATCAAGACCCTGCTATATTCCTGGAATAACTAAAGTGTTAATTAGTTTGGATAAAAAAATATTACGTCAATA